AGCCAGCTCAAAAACAAGGGCCGGTGTTCCCCTCCCACCCCATTCTTACTGATGAAAGCTGTTGCCTGCTACCACTGGGGGCAGTGGCTTGCGTGGAGCTGGGGGGCAGTTGCCCCAGACACAGCCTCATCAGGAGGGCCTGGCCAAGCTCCCTCCTGCTGGGTGCCTGGATCTGCAGCCTCCCTGACATCACCACCGAGCAGGAGCCTCTGATATCCAGAGGTCCAGATGGACAGAGTGGCCAAACCCCACAGGACAAGAAAGAAGAATCAGAGAAAGGTGCTGCTGTGAGAAAAAGCACAGATAATTTGGTGAATGAATTGAAAGAAAGCAGATGTGTCTGGTGATCCAGATGCAAGGAGACTCTGTGGGGTGACAAGAGGGTGAGACGTGGATAAGGACCAGACAGTGCAGGGCCTTATTGGCCACGTACAGGATTTTAATTCTGATTTTAAATGTTAAGCAAATTCTATTTGAAAAACAAAACCAATACACCAATGTTGCAGTCGTCCATGTGCAGAATGAAGGCATTCTGGCCTGGGATGTTACCAAAGTAGAGAGAGATTTAGGAGAGATCAATAGAATTCTTACTTAGTTCCCTTTCTCCTCTCTTGGACTGACCCAAAAATGCCTATTAGGCTTTGTAAAGTAATATCAGGCAAGCTTATTTTCCTGAACTGCTTCACCCATACCTCAAAATATGATCATTTCAAACTCCTGGGCTCAGGTGATCCTCCCACCTCAGGCTCCTGAGTAGCTGGGACTACTCAGGCGCACCCACCATGCTTGGCTAATTTTGGGTTTGTTTTTTTTTGTAGAAACAAGATCTCACTAAGTTGCCTAGGCTGGTCTCAAACTCCTGGCCTCAAGCAGTCCTCCTGCCTCAGCCTCCCAAAGGACTAGGATTATAGGCATGAGCCACTGCACCCGGCCCAGAATACATTTGTGTTTAGTAGACATCACTTACTGGCATAATATGACATTTGTGCTAATGAAATTTAACATTCAAATCTAATAATAAAATAGATTTATGTGTAAAAATTTTGATCTCCCTTAATCAGAGGAATTGTATGTCCATCAGAGTGTTTGCTTAGCTCAATTCAACCCCTCTTGCTTCTTGGTTTGTTGTAAGGCCAGACTGTTTTGCAGTCAGCACCAGGGGTATGTGCGGGAAGGCAGGAAGAAAAAGGGAGACTGGCATACTTAGCAGTTCGTAGCTCAAGATCAGTCTGTAGGTAAATGTTATCACCCCCTCATTGTTTCCCTCAAACACATCCTGGGTCAGAGGTGAGGGCAGAAAAATAGCAGCAGGAGTCAAGAATGATAGTAGGAAGGTAAACTTTTCATCCCTTCCCTTTTAAACTTTGCCATGAGACAAATTTAGATGTATCCTTCACTCATTGATCTTTAAAATGTGTGTGTATTTGGGGAATTTGTGGAACTTTTATTTGAGGTCAATATGTGCATTGCATTTGTATAGATTGTCTTAAATTAGTCTATAAATCTTCAGTAAGTTAAAATTTTAAACCAATGGGAAAGTATGGGGAGTGCTCTGGAACCACTTGTTGTCATTGTTATTATTGTTGTCACTTAAAAAAAGATCGATGACTAGATGGATGTTTGGAAGGATAGTATTTGCACATCCCACCTGCTGTTGTGCCGGGCAGAGCACTAGTGTGAGGTGGACAAGACTGCTGTAACCAGCTGTGTCTGTGACAGGCTCTTCCTTTTTGGGGTAGAAGAAACATTTCAGCATTTGGAAGGATTGAGAAACTGTAGAACAAAGTGGATAATAATACGTGCTTGAGAATCACACTACCTGAGTTCAAATCATGTTTTACCTCTCTCTGCTTACTTCTTTGGGTCATGAGGATTAAATCTATATAAAACACTTACAATCCTATCTGGCACATAGAAAGTAATAAATGTTTGCTAGTAGAAACTTTATTAACCTCATAAATAGAATAAAAACAGATTGATTAAAGTTTCTCATGATTTTAGTAAAATAGCCAGATTCTGCTTGATATAATGATTTTCAAATTTAGAATTTGGATTTAAGGATTCAGGGTAGTAACATTTTCCTGATTCTCACTTATAGGTGAGGTAATTTCAGATTTTCTAGGGGTTCATTTTAAGTTCACTCAAATTCACTGAAATCATAAAAACAAAGAATAAAGGAGTAGACAGGAAGTAGAAATGCATGGATCTTCAATGAAAGTTGGAAAATTTACTGAATTTAAAAAGTGATGGAAGGAATAGTGATAATCAAAGAGCAGCCTTGGTCACACACGATTTCCAACTTGCTATGGCCTAGCTTCCTGGTAGAGGGAGACCATCAGATTGGAAGAATGCAAGGGGACAAGAGAGTTAAGAGAAACCAAAAGGCTTAAGTACTTGGCCATGACCTTCAAAGTACTTGAAAACTGAGGGAGATAGGCCCCCAGAGCAACTGAAGTCATAGATTTGGTCAAAGGGTATTGAAGACAACAAAACCAAATCATAGTTGTGACCTGACCCCAGCTTACCCTACCTCAACACTCAGCAAATAGTAGGTTCCATTCAAAAATGAGGTGTATTTCTTTTAAGAAAAAGGAACTAGCATACAATCTTTGCTAGATTAAAAGAAAGAGAGAGAAAGGATGTAAGCAAAAAGCAAATAAAGAACATATATCAAATGGAAAATTATCCAAGAAAAGAAGATAGGTTCAGACAAATTACAGTTCTTTTTTTTTTTTTTTTTTTGAGACAGAGTCTCACTCTGTTGCCCAGACTAGAGTGCCGTGGTGTCAGCCTAGCTCACAGCAACCTCAAACTCCTGGGCTCAAGCAATCCTTCTGTCTCAGCCCCCGAGTAACTGGGACTACAGGCATGCGCCACCATGCCCGGCTAATTTTTTCTGTATATTTTTAGTTGTCCAATTAATTTCTTTCTATTTTTAGTAGAGACAGGGGTCTCGCTCTTGCTCAGGCTGGTCTCAAACTCCTGAGCTCAAACAATCCGCCCGCCTTGGCCTCCCAGAGTGCTAGGATTACAGGCGTGAGCCACCATGCCCGGCCCAAATTACAGTTCTTTATAAGAGTTCTTCAATGTCAAAGCATTTACAAAATGCATTGATATATATATAGATAGATAGATAGATAGATATAGATATATAGATAGATAGATCTTTCTATCTATATATAAAGATATATATCTCTCTCTCTCAAGGAAAATGGTGAGGGGAGATAGAAAAAAAGAAAAAAACAGATGTGTTTAAAGATGATGTAAGTCAATAGAGATGAGAAGTGATCTCTTAGAGCTTAGGAAAAATGGTAGACAAAAATCAAAAGATTATAGAAATTAAAACCATATTAGGAAAATAAAAATGAAAAAATTATAACTGAAAACATTCAAGGAAATATGGTAATCAGGCTAGAGGAAATCATACAAAATGAAATGGAAATATAAAATAGATATAAAATGATGAGAAAATAAAAGCAATAATAGAGAAAATTATAAGTATGGAAGATTGTCAGAGTCGAGTCAACACATGCAAAATCTGTGTTCTTGAAGAAGAGAACAAATAGAAAAACATATATGTAAAAAATGATAGAATACAAATAATTCTTCTAACAATGGAAATTTTGGTTTAAGTAATGGAATCTAAACATAGAAAGGGCACACACAATGTTTCAGGAAAATTGATACAGAATAATTAATACCAAATCATTTCCCAGTGAAGTTACTGAATCAAGGAAAAATAAAATCATACAGACATCCAAGCAGAAAAAGAAAGTTATCTTCAACATGGAAAAACATCCGCTTCGCTTGAGACTCCACCATAGCAATATGTAATGTCAGAAAACATTGGAGAAATTTCTCCAAAGTTCTGAGAGAAAGAAAGTGGGATTGAAGCATTTTTATACCCAGTCAAGGTATCTTTCAAATATATAGGCAGTGGGCAGGCATTCTAAAGAGATAAGGATGCAAAAAATAGAGCATGCATGAATCCTTTTTAAAAGAGTAGGAGCTCAAAATGCAGAGCCGGAGTTGAGTGGGGGAAAAAACTGGTCAAACAGTTAATATATAACCTATGAACCCTCAATAAATGTTGCCCTTAAGGTCTGGTTTATAAAGCACATCTTTTGCTTTGTGTTTTCTTTTCATTTGAGTCAACTAATAAATGTAACTATTGGAAATAAGTGCAAGAAGAGAAGGTGAGAAAAATCAATAGATATGAGAACAATATATATGTATCTACACATACATTCATATCATACCCATCCACATCTTCATCCTGCTCAGGCATATTCCTCCAAAAGCTTTTCTTCTACCCTCTTGCCCATTTCTTTGGCTTTTAGAGAGATGAATGGGATGAGGATGAGCCCCCAACCTTTCCTTTACCAGCCCAGTGAGCATCAGCTAGTTGAACACAGGCCCGATAGTATTCAGGAGACAGAAGGAAACCTAAAAGCAGGGAAACTTCCTATGCCAAGGGCACTCTACTTGTCTATCTGTGTTGAGGAGGCTTAGAGACACAGCTGCTCCTTCATTCATGTCTTCATAATCATATGAATCACATGTAGCACTCCAGGTATGTGCCAGTTTGGAGGAGTGTTTCAATCAAAAACATACTATGAGTTGTCCTCAGATCACAGCTTTGTATGGTCGAAGTCTACATCCCCATCAAGGAGAGGCTGCAGGGCTAGGAAACCTCATGAGTGGAGAGGAAAGAACAAGTATTGTATTTAACAGGTGCTGAAAATTGTGTTAACAAGGATTTTAAAGAAATAAAGTGCTGTTACAGGGACTGTCTCTCAGAATCACAAGGTCAGGCTGGGTAGCTTTTTCTGTTTTTAACTCTTTCCTCTTATTGCATCTTTATTGTCTGGTTTCTGACCACATGTAACATACTTATCTTTGGATGAATAGATATTATCCTGGGATTTTTTTAAATTCAAAACAATCACTTCTGTGGTAAAAAAAAAAAAAAGATAACTATAATTTTTTTTCCATTTTAGATAACTTACATAAGACAAGAATATGAAACAAAATTCAAAGGGTTGATGCCAGCATCTCTAAGACAAGAACTTGAAGACACAATTTCCTCCTTAAAATCCCAGGTAATTACTACAATCAAGGCATCTTCCAAGGATTTGGGTGATGTGCGTATCCTGAAAATAAACGTTTTGCAAATAAATTTGATTCTGAATTGATTCCAGAAATCAATGTGATAGCATAACCTTACTACCCAAGATGAATTGTTTTTGTTTTTGTTTTGTTTTAAATTTTGTTTCTTACTAGTTTAAGAACTCATTGTCTCAGTAAGATTATCTTAAAAGCACTCTTGAAATTGAAAAGTTCAGTTGATAACTTTTATTCATTTTAGCCTCACTCTTTTATTCTTGGTACTAGGTCCAAAATGCCATCACTTAGCACATTGCTGATTCCTCACTGTGTTAACGTGCAGAGAAATGGAAAGCACAGTTCCCATAAAAGCATTTTTATCCCATAAAAGCATTTTTATTCTGGTGTATTGTATATGGTCGTTAGAGATAACAAGATGTATTTTAAGTTCAAGGCAACATAATGACAAGGTATGCAAACAATTAGGTTAAATATTTCTTGCCAAAATGTGTGGTCCTTGAAATAGTTCATAAAATATAATGTGAGAGATTAAAATTGATTTAAATTTAGGTATTTATTTAAAACCTCCAATGTAAATTTTCTCTGTATACTTCTGTATTGTTTGAATGTTTTATATATCATTAGTCTAATGAATTTTTTTAACTCTGACATGAGAAAGGGTTCAAATATTGCTATTTCCAATACATTTTGAAATTTAAGACATACCTTTTTCTGAAAAAGTTCCATGAGAGAAAGGATCTCTTTACTCTGTGCCAAGTACTGTGCCTGGCACGTAGTAGATGCTAAATAAATTTATTTATGAATAAAATAAATGATATAGTTTGATTATATCCACATTACCCATTTATAATGTGTAAGATGAAATGTGGAACAAATTTTAGCTTTTCCTTTTATATTGCCCTCTTACTTGAAAATGAAATGTTCATTATACCAATCCTTAGGCTACTATTTGCTATTGCTTCTGTAGGCTAATAAGTTTGCTATGCTGGTTCCTGCATATAAAAATAAGTACCGGAAGAGAATGTTAACAGAAAGTTTGGGCTAGAGAATTCTCTGAATTTAAGGTCATCTTTATTTACATGAAAGCTCGACTCCAGGTGTGGTTTACCCATTAAGTTTGTAGGAGAGCTTCCACAGTGTCAGCTATGTAGGACCTGACACCTTCAGAGGAGTTTTTTTAGAGGGAGGAAAAAAGAGAAATCTGATACCCACCTGCAGGGCTTCTGTTATCATTCATATCATTTCACTGTAATAAAAGCCACTTTATCCTCCTCAAACTGGATGCTGACCCAGAAAGAGAGTGCTGCCAGCTGCGATAGGGCCTCAGAATTGGCAGCTGCGTGGAGGAGTCATAGGCCATACAGTGAGCAAATTTAGTTTAAAAGCACAGGTGCCCATGTTTTTTGAAAATTGTTGGAATTCCAATTGCAAATCACGGTGCGGGGAGGGAAGTTGAATCAATGTAATCCTTGCATCTGTCAAAATTATCAATTGTTCCATGGGTCACTTGAGCACTTGGATAAAGTTAAGACCAGGGTGATATAGAAAGAAGCAAAACTGAGGGGACCACTTTGATATGCACCCATTTACAACGACTGTGCTTTCCTCTTCTTTTAAGCATATTTTCTATTCTGCTAGCTGTACTATCTTGCATAACTATGTTTCAGAATCAGCCGTTGCCATGGTTTCAGTTCAGACCAAAGAGGCAAGAGTAAACAATTCTGAAACGATCAAATACCACTGACTTCTGATTACATTAAGCCATAGTATAAGTTATCCCCAAACCATTTTTATTTGCTTTTGAAGTCATGCTTGATATAGGTATCTTTAATAGTATAGAAACTTATACTTCAAAATAATCAAATGTGTTGTAAAGGTCTGATTTAAGAGAACATATTAAACAACCCAATTTCCTCCAGCCCCCCAAGAGTGAGGGTCTGGGGGTAGTACCTTCTATGAGCTCTGCGCTAGGCCGTTTCTTTTAGTTGTTTCACATCGTCCTCATCACTTTGGGCAGTAGCTGTCATTAACCCCATTTCACAGATAAGGCATCAAGAGCTTAAGTAACTTTCTTAGAGCTACAGATGCCAAGCTAGGAATTCAACCCAAGTTGGTCTAACTCCAGACAAAGGTCAGGCTCTCTCTACTGCAAAATACTGTCTCTTCAACCTCAGGGAATCCCCGGGATGGATTGAGGTTTCCACAAAGCAGTAATTTTCTTTTCACTCACTCATTCATTCATTAAACAGTGAGTGAATACCAGCTTCATGCCTAGCCCTGTGAAAGAAACTGGGGGTGGAGAGAGAAAAAAGTCATCCCTGCCCCAGAAGAGCTCTCAGGTTTCCGGGAGAGATATGAAAACATGTAACTACACGGCAGAGTGAGAAGTGCCAGTAATAGAGACCAAGAACGCAGACGGGGGGACTTTGCCTGGGGTGAGGGGCAGTTGGGGAGGAGACAAGAGGGGACATTTGAACCAAAGAGTGGGGAGGTGAATAGGAGATAGCTAGCCAAGCATTCCGAAGAGGGAAAATGGCCCGTGCCAAAGGGCAACAGCATGTGAAAGACGTGGTGTAAAAGGTGGCGATGGCAGGAAGGGCATGAGGACAGATGAAGCCACAAAGACAGGATGGGGCCAGAGCAAAACGGCTTCTGAAATGGGGAATTTGAACATTGTTCTGTAGTCTCTGATGGATTTTCAGTAAGGATCGGATGTGACCAAATGTAAAAACACACCACTGACATTCAACAAATCCTGAATTTTGGCTAGAAAATTGTCTGAATTTAAATAAAATCTTACCATACTTTTTGCACAATATTGACATTTAAGCCACCTTCACCTCTTCTCACACAAGGTGTCTTGTCCAGGTTAACTTTCTGCAAAAGAGAGCATCCATCCTGCAAGAAGAACTGACTACGTACCAAAGCAGAAGGTATGGCTGAGTGAGCAGAGCGCCTCCTGATTAATTTGTGTTGTCTGTGCCTATGAGTCTTCTGCTTTGACATTTAAGTCTTTATTAAAATGCTTAGACATAGTATCAGTTTTGAAGAAAGGACTTGTTTTTAGTAAATAGCCTGTCTTTGAGAAGTCACCCACCCGTTTTAATCACGGTGCTTGGTCAGTACTGTCAGAGCAAGGTGAGAGAATCTGCAGGGACGTGGCAAGTCCAGGCCTCACCTGCGTGGTCACTGTGAGACATTGCCTTGAAGCCGAGTTGCAGGGTGGAGGAGACACTATCATGCTTTAAGATAGTGAGATGGTGCAATTCTTGCTATGATAGCTCACATCTTCAAAGTCCTTATCCCCTGGGGGTTTGGTGCTGTTCCCCAGACCAGAATAGATCAGCAGCTCAGTGGTGTCACATTTGAGTGCCCCCCATGTGCATGTCTTAGGGATGCACAGACCTTTTCAGTCAAGGTTCTCAGGGACGTCACTGACATAGATTGCGTTTACCTGCTCTAATTCCAGCAAACACCCTTCCTGTCAGTGCGGTGAAAGACGGAACGACTTATTTGGCATTGAATTCAAAGGAAAGAGCTTGTGAATAATTCCCTTTTAAAAGATTCTGTTTGCTTGATGTTGGTAAGATTTAATCCCTTAAAGGCATAAATGATGACATTTTGATATCAAATATCCTTTTAACCCCTATCCAGCTTCTCCAGAATTGCAACCTGTTTTATAATTGACAGATCTGTTAAACCTAGAGGAAGTCATAACTGGGGTTTTTGGTTTTCAGGTAACTTCATGAGAGGATGCATTGGATGCTGTTGTCCAGGCTGCACTGTGGATTTCTTCCAGCAGGTTTGAAGATTTGAATATTGTGAACTGTGAGATCAGTGGCATTTTTTAATACTTAAATGTAATTAAGATCATAAAAACTTGCATCATTCACACACTAGTGGGGTGGTTTTATTTGTGTCTGCCTAAGTTATTTTTTTAACATTCCTTTATTTCTGATTTCCTTATTTGTGTGCATTTGAGTATGTGCTGAGAATTGCTTATATTGGGAAAAGAAACGATTCCTTATGGTATGCCTTGTTGATGCTTTTGCGTATCATTTTGCCAGTTGCATAGGATCAAGATCACGTTTGTAGTATCATACCAAAATTTTAACCTGTTTACATTGTTTCCATGTTTGTGTTCATATATTATTAAAACATTATTTTATACTTATCAGTTTTATTTCTACTTTTTATTGTACCTCATTTGCTAAGTGTGACATACACATGGTATTTTTCCCTAGCAAATACTGACAATCTGAAATTGTACTTTGGGGAAACATACCTTATGGCATGTCAAAGAGCAAATCTATAATTAGTGCATGAAATTGGTGTTTAGAATAATATCACTGGATCATGTGATATCAGTCCAAGTATTTGTCATGTTGGTCTCCCAGTCTCATCCTGGAACTCCAGAGGCAGAATGGTGTAAGAATTTTGTGTAGCAGCTATGGTTTTATTGTTACTTTCTTGATCTCTCTTTTTGTGGTGGTTTTTTTCATTGTAATATCATTTGATAATCTTTTAAAAAGCCTAAAAATGTAGGGTTATGCTATGAGGGCATGACACATTGGCAGGTGATCACAGAATGTGCTTTGCTTGATCTTGTTTTCATGTGGGCACCTCCTCGTTGAGAGAATATGGTGTTGCTGCCATGAATGGATGTGTAGGTCAGGGTCCCTCTCCCCACCCGAATGCTGATAAGCAGTTCTAGGCTGATTGGTCAACCATGATTTGCCAAGGAAATTTTGAAATGCAGTGAATGGGTGCTCCAAATTCTTTTGACTTCATTGTGGTGCGTGCCATGGGCATTTTGAGGCACTCTCTAGAAATCTGGCCCATGGGCAGGGCTGTAATCATCCGGTTTACTGTAAAAGGCCAGGGCAGAAAGTTTATTTACACTTTTTCAAAATTCCTTTCTCTTTCCCACGCCCATGTCTGTTGTTTGCTACCCAGGGATTAATTACCCTTTTTTGTACTGTAACTGAGACATGGAGATGATAAGGAAGTAACAGGTTTTACAGCCACTTCCAAAGCCAGGATGAGGATCAGCATAAACAGGGCTATGCCGCAGCCACAGTAGGAGGCCTGGGGCTCTTGCACTAAATCACCTCTGTGGGGCCACCACTCTGTCTGGTAAGGCTCAGCTACCCCCAGCCCCACCCCGACACCTCCTCTAGGAATATAAGTCTCTGTCCTTTGAAAGATCAGGTTTTTCCTGCATGTATGATAAGTTATAGCACTGGTTTCAAGAATATTTGGGAAAAATCAAAACTGTAGCAGATGCTATTAAAACCACCTACCAAATGAAGACAATTGGTACTCAGACTATGATTTGGTACTCAGAAGGGAAAGATTAAGGCTACGTGATTACTGCTAAGTACTTCTATATAGACCATGAAAAACAGGTTGAAGCTAAACAGATTTCATTAGTAAGGTTATTAACTGCTTGAATTGAAAATACTTTGTGAATTGTATTGTTTGCTAGAATTGGAACTCCCACTCAAGAATATTTGTTTTCCATGAGTAAATATCAGTAGGTGTTTTGGAAAGTTGCCTGCCATTCTTTCTTTTCCTCATTTCAAGGGTTATGAAATTACAAACACTGCTGAACCTTTGACATTACCCAGATCCTGTTTCCCTTCTGAAGCATGTCATGTATGTCTGGGAGTAAATGGAATGAAACTTTAGGTCAGTTTGATTGGATGTGATAGGAATGGGTGGTTGACACTAATGTCTTTGTGAACGTTCTCTGATAAAGGAAGAGAAAGAAAAATTGCATTTGGCATGTTTGAAATTCCTTACTGAGTTAAGCATAGAGTATAGAAATGGCTACTGGGAGAAAAAGCCAGTGCTCAGGAAATAAATTATAAACACCATGCCTTATTATAAAAACATCTAAGATTTCATCTTTTCTTTTATGTGCTGGAAGATCGATTGTTCATCACAAGTACCTGATTTAGTTACATCTGAAGTTATTATTATTGGCTGCTGTACCTGAGTCATCCACCTGTGCTTTTTCTATTTCAACATGTAATTGTCAACAGGTAGTAGCTGACAAAGCATTTGGAAGAAGCCAAGCAGAAGTGGTGCTCTGGGGTCCCAGTGCTCTTGGTGTGTGTTATTATCCAGTTTGAGGGTCAGGGGAAAAAAGAGTTAGCAGCAAAGTTAGCTATTCAGTCATCTGCATATGTCATAGTTTCGTTTGAGTCCAACATTTCTGCATCATCAGGCAGTGAGCCCTTGCAGGGGTCTGACCTCTGAATTTGCAAACTCGCCACTCGACAAGGGACTCCACAGAGAGCAGCCATCAGGATACATGGAGAAAGAAGGAAGACTAAGATAGAGGGAACAGAGAATGATGGACTTGCTTCATAGATTGTGCAAAAGAATTGATGGTGACTTGAAGGAAATGGCTCAGATTCAGGTATTATCCTGTGATGCCACATATTAAAGGTGGTTTCTTCAGAAACAGGTATATGCTTACAGTGGTGAGCAACCTCATTAAAGGAGTCTGCAGAGAAAGTGCAGAAAGAAGAAACTGAGTTTGAATTAACAATTAACAGCCCTCTTATTGAAGTACATCACCATCCACAGAAGGCAGTGGTGTTTTAGCTTTCTTTTTAAGAGTAGAAAGGAAAGGGAAAACATCAAAAATGGTGGGAGAAAAGTTTCAGAACACAAGGTCATTTTAATTCATAGTTTCCTTAAAAGAACTATCTCTTCTGAGCTTTCATATTTTGTTCAGAAAGGTCGTTTCTTTTAAGCCTTGTCATTAAAGACGGTTTGCTCTTTAAAGTGAATTATCAAAGGGTGTAGAAATTGCAAGTTACTGAAACTAAAATGCATGATCAATTTTAAGTCTGCTAACTAAAGCCTACTTAAAATTGGATGTGCTTTTGTCCTGGCAGCTCCTTTGATAAAACCAGAAAAAGATACGTGGTTGGTCAATTCAAAGTAGGGAATGAAGATAATTAGATAAAACTTTTTTTCAACTCATATGGAAGTGGTTCTTGGCTTTGGAGACTTGATTAGGGAGCTGTGCATAGGCTGTATGGTATTTGAAAAGTAAAAGATGAATACCTCAGATTTTGACCTGGCTACTATTAAAATTCTTCACTATATTGTCTTAAAAACAGAATCAAACTTCAGATCACATTATTTACCTCTCATGTGGAGGAAGAGAAATGAAATTTGTAACATAAGACTGAAGAAATTTTAAAACCTGGATCCTTCACCTGAAAATTTGTTCTTCCAGACATTTCAGTTGTAAGCAAGGATTTCCATCAGGCAAATGTTTTAAAACCAAAGATCTAAGATGTTGCTATAGATTCTGCTGTTTTGAGAACTGAAGGTTAATCTAGACTTCAGGCTGATAAATATTCTTATATCCTCTTTGGAATTCTACCACTTAAGAAGGTCTGTCTCATGGAAAAGAGCTAGTTGAACACAAAGACTTTATCATGAACAGAAAGAGAGGGCTACCTAGTAAGAAGCCTGATCTATTTAATTAGTTAAAAAGGGGTTATATAAGTGAAACCATTGTGTCCACAACCCCTTTACTTTAGCTGGGAAAGGAAATTCATTCATAGGTAGAGTCTACCAATTAGTTTTATTTCCTTAGGCAATTTTATTCACCTGTCTGGGCCTCACTTTTCTAATCCAAAACATAAAGGGGTGTAATTAGACCAATATTTCCCAAACTGTACTATTTCGATCCTCTCATTTAGTGTTTCTCAAACTAGTCTTCCATAAGGCCCTGTTCTGTGTGATTTATGTCGAAGTATTCAGAAATAATAACTAGGAAATGTGGCATGCTATATTGCCCTCGTGAAGATTCACATTTATATCACTCGCTCAGTCATTCATTCATTTAATAAATAGTTATCAAGTGCCAACTGTGTGCTGGATAGCACATTAACCACCCCAACACTTAATGGCTTAGATAATAATTTATTATCATCCCTCTTGGTACTGAGGGTTGATTGGGCTCAGTTAGGCTGTTCTCACCATGCAGACATGGGGGTGGGGCCTTGGGGCCACATGTGGCCTTCTGGATCCTTGAGTGCGGCCTTTTGACTGAATCCAAATTTTACAGAACAAATCCTTTTAATAAAGGATTAAAAGTTTGAATTCGGTCAAGGGGTCACACTTGGGCATCTGGAGGGCCACGTGTGGCCTTGAAGCCACAGGTTCCCACCCCTGGATGGCAATTGTGAGAAGCCCTCAAAAGCAAGCCTGGCAAGGGACCAGACATGGAAGTCTCCAGCCCCATAAGGCCTGGGCCCTGAAACTGGCACAACATCACTTCTACTATGTTCTGCCAAAGATGGAGCCTGCCCAGAGTCAAGGGTAGAAGACATAGACCCCAGGAAAGTTGTGGCCTTCTTTAATCTGTGATACCCTCTGGTAAAAAATCCTATTTAACTTTATTTAATCTGGAATTCCCTAAAATGATTTGATCCATGGAATAGTTTTGAGCTTTGTCTGTGGCCCACATATTTTATTATACAGAGTTCTGTGAAATACTGACTAGAGAAGTCCAAACCAAAGTGATTGCAAAAAAATTCCTTTCTGTTCAAAAATTCTTTTATCTAGATTGTATTTCTAGAATCACAGGTTAAATTGGGGATTTAGAAACACTTCTTGGGAAGCCCTGAGTTAGGGATATTCACAAAGACCATGTGTGCCTCTGTGATTCTTTAGAAAGACGGTAGCAACCATAGTTGAATGTTTTTTTCAACTCTTCTCTGTTTGGAGCTTGGTATGCACTGTTTATCGTAATTATCTTAGCAAGTGTATTATTATAAAGGTCCACCAAAACCTGTACCCTGTGCTTAGAATGGTTTTTTCTTCTTTCGTGGAACTGTCAGGCACATGGAAGGATGTGGA